CTGCCTGCAGCAGCAACCAGGCAGGCAGTTTAACCCTTCCCTGCCTGCTCCCCCCGAGATGGACAGTGTGGGCAGCCACAAATAAGCCAGAGGCAGGAGGCAGTGAGTGGGGATTTGGGGTGCTGCGGAGGGCTCAGGGAGACAGTGGGCCCAGTCGGGCCAGTGGGGAAGGGAAAGGGGGTAGACAGGGTGTGTACACTAAGGTGTTGCCTAGGGTGGCTACACCTTAGTGTAACATGAGCTGCCTAACAAGTGCTTAAAATTAGTTTCAGATGTTAATTTGTGGACAATCCAAGTGTTAAAAGCTCCAATAGCCGCCCCAAATTACCATGTTACAAGGCCCGAACACAGCAGTTCGGCTATTCTTATCCCTACAAAAGGTAGGTGATTTGCTGCTGGTAAGTGACAAAACAGGAGGAGGAATAAAAACCTATCACAAATAAATGCAAATAAATCACAAGTGTTGACATGACAACCAACTTTCTGCCTACTGGGAAATATGTCATTTTGAGTGTGTTACACCAGTAATCAAATGTATACAAAGAACAGTGCCTATTTAACATTCACTGGAAGGCATAAAATAGTGGGGGATGGGTGCTCTCTGCCTATTCTCCATTTAGTTCCTTATTTAGCTTTATGGATTTTATTTTATAAAATAAAGGCTACCAAACAAAACTACCACCACCACCACCACCACAACATACATTTTCCAACCTGGCTGACTTTGGATACAATAATGAGCCCAATCTTATCTTTGTTGCTGGTGTCCTTTCAGAAAATGAAAGATAATTTACTATAAGTGTAGGATTAAAAATGACTGGGTCTAACAAACAGCCATATCCAAGTGCAAGCTGAAACAGTTCTGCCCACTGTACTGGAACCTGAAGCAGGTATTTCAAAACACGTCAGGATCTGACTGAAGGTAGACCCCAACTGGAAACCCAGGTCAGAACAGGCTCAGCCTACGGGAAAGTTTTGAATACAGGAATAAATCAGAAACATCACTTAGATGCCACGAGGCTCGATGCAGGCAAGGAGTTAGCTGCCTAAAATGGGATTTAGGTGGAATCATAGAAAATGAGAGTTGGAAAGGACCTCAGAAGGTCCCATCTAGTCCAACCCCCTATTCAAAGCAGGACCAGCCCCAACTACATCATCCCAGACAAGACTTTAGAACAGTGCCTATTTAATATTAGGAAGGCATAAAATGGTGGGGGATGGGTGCTCTCTGCCTATTCTCCATTTAGTTCCTTATTTAGTTTTATGGATTTTATCTTAAACACTCCAAGGATGAAGCCTCCACCACCTCTCTGGGGAGCCTGTCCCAGTGCTTCACCACCCTCCTAGGGAGAAAGTTCTTCCTAATATCCAACCCCAACTTTCTTCATAGTTTCATAGTTCATAGTTTGTAGGGTCGGAAGGGACCTGAGCTGATCATCAACTTCCCTCAGTGCAACTTCCCATTGCTCCTTGTTCTGTCATCTGTCCCCACTGAGAACGGTTTAACCCAGGTAGTAGTTGAAGGCTGCTATTAAATCCCCCCTCAGTCTTCTCTTCTCCAGACTAAATAAGTCCAGTTCCCTGAGCCTCTCCTCATCAGTCATGTGCCATAGTCCCCTAACTATTTTCGTTGCCTTCTGCTGGACTCCCTCCAATTTGTCCACATCTAGGAAAGGCAACATCTAAGTAAAAAATAGATATCTCCTCAGCTGCCCCTTCACCTTGGAAACACCTAAGTTAATTAGGAGTCTACCCGTCTGACATCCAAGGTCCCGATGTGCCTCCACTCCAGCACACAACCAGAACCGCCTTAGGTAGAGCAGCTCAGCACCCATCTTCTGCTTACGCTTTACTAGGATCCAGAAATCAGGTGTTCCTGTCTCTAATTCCCCAGAGGGGCCTGATCCAGGAGGCATGCTTATAGAGCGTGCTTAGCATTCACAAAATGCAAAGGTGGCCATTTTATTTTCAAATGAAACCCACAGACGTGTGGCTTTGCCCTGTTGTCATATGACAGCTGAGTGGTTCAAGCATTCAAGCAGGAAATGGGAGCCCTGGATGAGAAGGGTCAAATCCAATCTACTCACCCCCAAGAAGAGCACCCCAATGACAAGGATCTCAGTGAGTCCAATTAGGTGACACTCTCCACCTTTCCTATCTAAGCCAGGCAATTCTGTAGCCAAGAATGCGATATTCATTGCAAAAGAGGGGAAGCACAAGTGGAAGCATGACTCTGTAGCCCAGTGTTTTAGGTGCTCTACTGGGAGTGTAGGCAGACCAGGTTCTTTGGGTAGCTTTGATGTCTTTTATTAGACCAACTAAATAGTTGGAAACATTGTTCTTTGCAAGCTTTTGGGCACAAACACCCTTCTTCAGACATAGGAGGGCGTTTGTGCCCAACAG